GTTTAGCCAATTCTAAGTATTCACTTAATTTTAGCACTGGAAAAGAAATATTATACCAACAAGGGAAGGTGATATTTAACCATTTCCCAGTTGACAGAGGGCAGGTGAGAACTCCTAAATAAACTAATAAATGAGGACAGAGACAAAGTGATAGTCTACCCTTGTCCCAAACTGAGGCAGAAATGTTGCCATCAAAGTTGGACTATCATCTCCTATTGGGCCATCTTCATAAAATTAGTTATCCAGTCCAGTCCACTGGTCTAACACAAGGCATCACTATCCCTAATCCCACAATACACCTCCAACGTTTTCCTTTAAATTGCCCACGACAGTGAATCTTCATGCTACCTAGGCAGCTGCTTGCTTGCACTACTGAAAATCTTACGGTGCGTGTACAAATATACCTTAAAAGCGGGACTCTCTCCATCCTCACTTAATCTCCACAAACAAAATCTGTGAAATAGGTTAGGACTGACAGACAGTGGCTGGACCAAGGTCACCCAGTGAGCTTCATGGCTAAGATGGAGATTAGAACCCTGGTCTCCCATATCCCCGCCAACACTTTAACCGCTAGGCCACTCTGCTTTGTGCATAGGTGATTTCTACTGCAAACACCCAGAGATAGTTTTACAGGAGCTTGATTGTGCTAATCTTTTCTAGCCTCCCTGACTCCACTGTTTAACCACACTGGCATCCTCCCGGGTTTGCTTGTACCTCTTCTAATCCATGTATGAATTCTGAGGCTCTACTACAGCGGTCTGAGGCTCTACTACAGCGGTTTTAAATTGCCTCCAAGCTTCCTGAAAGGATATGAGCCTCCTAATTGCAGTTCCAGTTCCTTTTAACCAATTCCCTCTCTTGATAAAATTTCTCCTTTTGAAATTAAGTGACTGTTGGACACTCTGGGCAATTTCCCACTCTCCTGCGTTTAATTTGATAGCATTGTGGTTGTTGTGTATTGAGTCAAAGGATTTTATATCTGTATTATTATTGTCTGTATTTGCATTAGGGTAAAGTAACTGCCTTTTGGTTCCAGAGGGTACAGCTACTATTGGTTCATTTAAGCTGCTGTATTTGGATCCTCTGTCTTATTGGTTCCCTCCAAAAGGCAGGACTGTGATTGCGTGATATTGTTCCCTCCAAAATGTATCCTTTCTTGCTAGTTCTCTGTCCCTATAAATGTAGCTTTCCTCTCCCCAGTCTTGAGTCTTGTTGCTTTAATAAAGAAGTGTTACTACAGACTGTCTCCAGCATGTTATATCAGGAGAGCTGAAATCACAAACCCCAAGTCACAACAACTGGCGACGAGGATGGGATCCGGAATGCTGAGGAGCGTTAAACGCAGCCCTGCCTCAGAGTCCGGATTGCAGCTAAGAACAAGACTCACTGGCCAGCTGAGAAGACGACCCTGCCGCAGGACAATGGAGAGTCCAAGGGTATTGGAGCCCTTCCAGCCATCAGAGCCCGACACGTGGGAAGACTACGTCGAGCGCTTCGAGTTCTTCGCAGAGGCTCAAGGGATCACCGATGCCAGCAAAAGAAGGGCCACATTCCTGAGCTACTGTGGGCCTGAGACCTTCAAGCTGGCCAAGGCATTGCTTGCTCCAGCGAAGCTAAGTGAGACATCTCTCAAAGATATTCTTGCCTGCCTAACAAGCCACTTGGCGCCTACTGAGACCAAGATGGCTCGGCGGATGGAGTTTCATAAGAGGCAGCAGCATGCTGGGGAGTCTGTATCTGCATTTCTGGCTGAACTGCGGAAGCTCGCTCAGCACTGCGACTTCCAAAATCTGGAAGAGACTCTCCTGGATCGGTTTATCGGTGGTCTGAGCAGCAAGAAGGCCAGAAGACGCATCGTGGCTAAAGAAGAGGTTACCCTTGCTTCAGCCTTGAAGGAGGCCACCGCCACGGAGAATTATGAAAGAGAGGAGCTTGATGCCAGTCGCAAGGCCCCTAAGCCACAGATAGAAGTTGCGCATGCCATGGACGAGCTAGAGGCTACTCCGAGCCAGAGCCCAGTCCGTGGGGTCGAGTCAGTGAGTCAGGCCTGCACAGTGCACAAAGATCACCGAGGCAGGTGCCCAGGTTGTGGCGGAAACCATGAGCGGAAGAGTTGTCGTTTCCGGGATGCTATGTGCCGGACGTGCGGGAAGACAGGTCACATCGCCAGGGTCTGTAGATCGGCGGCGTTGGGAGCGACAGGAGCACCTAGACCGGAGCATCGCAGACCGCCCGCAGCAACCCATTTTCTAAAGGACTGCCACTACGTTACGGAGATCAACGGGAGGGTCGTGCAGTTCCCAGCACAAGGCAAGGCACACGTCAAGGTGAAGATTGAGGGTCAGCAGTGCGACATGGAGGTGGACTCCAGATCTGGATTCACTATCGTGTCGGACCAGACCGCGAGGACATTCTTCCCCAGGGGTAAGTTGCCCCTCTGGAACCCTTCCCGGCAACCTTGCAGTCATACTCAGCGGGCCGCATCCATGTTATGGGAATGTGTGCCGTGAGAGTACAGTTCCGGGACAAACAGGCTGTACTCAAACTGGTGATTGCGAAGGGCAGTCGCCCCAGTCTCCTGGGCACTGACTGGTTCCCTGCCCTGGGACTGAGTATATCAGGGCTTAATTCAATCCAAACCTGCCCTGAGATGAGCGAGGCATTATGCAAAGAATTTGCTGGTCTCTTTAATGGAAAACTGGGTTGTTATAAAGGGCCCCCAGTTGACTTCGAGTTGGACCCTGGGGTGGCCCCAATCCGACTCAAACCAAGGCGAGTGCCATTTGCACTGCAACCCAAGATCGAAGCAGAGCTGGATAAATTGGTCAAGCAGGGAGTTCTCTCACCCGTGGACTCTGCTAAGTGGGAGACTCCAATCGTCACGCCCCTTAAAGCAAATGGGGAAGTCAGGATCTGTGCAGATTACAAATGTACTATCAATAAGGCACTCAGGGGAAACTCATACCCCATTCCAGTCGTATCACATCTGTTGGCTAAACTGGCTGGGGGCAAGGTGTTCGCCAAAATTGACCTGGCACAAGCTTACCAACAGCTGCCAGTAACCCCACAATCAGCGGAAGCACAGACTATTGTCACACATAAAGGGGCGTTCAGAGTTAACAGATTACAATTTGGAGTTTGTGTGGCCCCAGGGATTTTTCAAGGGCTCATGGAACACCTGTTAAGAGGTCTGCCGGGGTCTTGCCATTTTTGATGACGTTTTGATTGCTGGAAAAGACCCACAGGAACTGGTTGCGCGTGTTCGTGCAGTGTTGCTCAAGTTCAAGGAGGTGGGGTTGCAACTGAAAAAGGAAAAATGCAGTTTTGGGGTGCCAACTGTGGATTTCTTGGGGTTTAAAATTGATGCATCAGGCATCCACCCCACAGATGCTAAGATTAAGGCCATCATCGAGGCGCCACGACCACAGAACAAGACGGAGTTGCAGTCATTCCTGGGACTTATTAACTTTTATCATTCGTTCTTACCCCAGAAAGCTTCGGTAGCTGAACCATTACATAGACTGTTGCAGAAAAAGAATGTGTGGCGATGGGGGCAGGGGCAGCAGAAGGCTTTTGACTCCTTGCGAGGAATGCTGAGTAGCAGGAGTGTCCTTGCTCATTATGACGAGTCAAAGCCTCTGGTCCTGGCATGTGATGCCTCTCAATACGGCCTGGGGGCGGTGCTAAGTCATAGGGAACCGGATGGGTCGGAAAAGCCCATCTCTTTCTATTCCCGTACGTTGTCGCCCACGGAGCGCAACTATGCTCAAATTGACAAAGAGGCGCTTGCAATTGTGGCAGGAATCAAAAAGTTCCATGATTATGTGTACGGTCGCCATTTCTACATTGAAACGGACCACAAGCCACTGTTAGGGTTGTTCAACCCGAACAAACAAACGCCACAAATTCTCTCCCCAGAATGTTACGTTGGTCTATATTCCTGAACGGGTTCCAGTACACCTTGACCCATGTGCCCGGGAAACGGTTGTGCCACGCGGATGCGCTGAGTCGATTGCCCCTTCCTGGCGGGAGCACTGAGGATCCTGCTCCAGCGGAGCACATAATGATGCTGGAAACACTCCCGGGGCTCCTGTAACGGCTACTGATATAGCTGAGAAAACGAGGAAAGATGCTGTTCTCTCCCGTGTGCTCACTTGGGTGGGGAGGGGGTGGCCAGGTGGTCCGCATGAAGACAAATTCAGGCCTTATGCGACTAGGCAGCACGAGTTGTCCATGCATAAGGGTTGTCTCCTGTGGGGAGATAGGGTGATCATCCCAGCACCACTGAGAAACAGGGTTCTTGAGACGCTTCACATGGGACACCCGGGAATGGTCAGGATGAAGTCGCTAGCCCGATGTTATGTGTGGTGGCCTGGAATGGACCAGAACATAGAACAATGGGTACGAACATGCAAGGCATGCCAAGAGGTGCGGCCAGAAGTGGCCAGAGCACCAGTCCACTGGTGGGAGCAGTCCAGATCTCCCTGGAGCCGGCTGCACTTAGATTTTGCTGGGCCATTCCAAGGAAAGGTCTTTTTGGTTATCGTTGATGCATATTCCAAATGGTTAGAAGTGGCGATGGTCCCTAGCATGGCATCAGCTGCCGTCATCAAGGTGTTGAGGCAGCTGTTTGCAACCCACGGGTTACCTGAGACCATTGTATCAGATAATGGGGCAGCTTTTGTATCCCAAGAATTCAGGGCATTCTTGGCTGATAACTTCATAAGAGGGGTCACATCCGCGCCCTTTCACCCATCCTCCAATGGGCAGGCTGAGCGCATGGTAAAAACAGCTAAAGAATCCATTGCGCGCTTAATGGAGGGTAACTGGTCAGCTCGCATCGCGCGAATGTTATTTTTGCAGCATGCGACGCCGTGTACCGCAACGGGCAAGTCGCCAGCTGAGCTGCTCTTGGGTAGGAGACTGGTAACGGTGCTGGATTATGTCCACCCGGATAAAATGCCAAACCATAATTCAAGAGCAACCCCCCAGGCTGAGACTGACACAACAAGGTATCTCGCCCCTGAAGATCTGGTCTGGGTGAGGAACTATTCACGAGGTTCGCGGTGGGTGGCTGGTGTGGTCACCCGGGCTAGTGGACCTGTGTCCTATTATGTGACCTTGGAAAATGGGCAAGTGTGGAAGAGACATATAGATCAGCTGAGGCGCCGGGCGCTCAGCAGGGAGGAGCCAGATAATTCATCCCTGGCTAACGACGCAGAGCTGCAAGACCAGAGTGAAAATGGCCCAGAGGTGCAATCACCAGGGGCTTTAACAAATGAACCAGGGTCTGCTAGTCCTCACGATGACGAGGTACAGATAGGGGACCCTGAGATGTCGGGGACTCCATCTGTTCCTGACGAAACCCCTAGAGCAGCCCCTCTACCACAGGTAACACCCAATCCAGAACCTGCAACACCTGTTGTCAGGAGATCAAGTAGAAGTTGTAGGCCCCCACAGTACCTGAGAGATTACGTCTGCTGTGCTCACTAGGGGGGAAGGGGTGTTGTGTATTGAGTCAAAGGATTTTATATCTGTATTATTATTGTCTGTATTTGCATTAGGGTAAAGTAACTGCCTTTTGGTTCCAGAGGGTACAGCTACTATTGGTTCATTTAAGCTGCTGTATTTGGATCCTCTGTCTTATTGGTTCCCTCCAAAAGGCAGGACTGTGATTGCGTGATATTGTTCCCTCCAAAATGTATCCTTTCTTGCTAGTTCTCTGTCCCTATAAATGTAGCTTTCCTCTCCCCAGTCTTGAGTCTTGTTGCTTTAATAAAGAAGTGTTACTAGAGACTGTCTCCAGCATGTTATATCAGGAGAGCTGAAATCACAAACCCCACGTCACAACAGTGGTCATCATCTCCAAGCAATTCAACAACACTTGCAACTGGTGCTAGACCTGACACCACCAAGAAGACTCAACCGTTGACCCTTCTCTTGTCTGCTTCATGACTAACTGTTCCAAAATACAATCACTCGTTGTATCTAGAAATAGTCTTTTGTCACTATGTGAATTTACATTCATCCAGTCAATCTGAGGGTAGCTGGAAGTCATCCATTATCACACTTCAGCTGTCTCCCTGATAGTCTTACTTCATCTGAGAAACAATGCTCCTGTTTTTCTGAGTCCAACGAGAGTCCTTTGTAAAAAAATAACCACACTATACTGATTTCGATTCAGTTCATATAGATCCATTATAGATAACGTTTTCTTCTGCTGTTCTCTGGCCACTTTGTATATCTGCAAGGTTAGCATCCTTTAAAGGTAAAGGTAAAGGGATCCCTGACCATTAGGTCCAGTCGTGGCCGACTCCGGGGTTGTGGCGCTCATCTCGCTTTATTGGCCGAGGGAGCCAGCGTACAGCTTCGGGTCATGTGGCCAGCATGACGAAGCCACTTCTGGCAAACCAGAACAGCGCACGGAAGCACCGTTTACCCTCTATTTATCTACTTGCACTTTGGCGTGCTTTCGAACTGCTAGGTTGGCAGGAGCAGGGACCGAGCAACGGGAGCTCACCCCGTTGCGGGGTTTCGAACCACCGACCTTCTGATCGGCAAGTCCTAGGCTCTGTGGTTTAACTCACAGTGCCACCCGCGTCCCCCTTAGCATCCTTTATGAAGCACTTAAAAGGAGGTATGGAGAACCTGTGGCCTTCAGGTGTCGTTGGACTCCAATACCCATCAACGCAAACCAGCATGGTCAATATTCAAGTATCATGGGAGTTGTAGTTCAACAACACCTACAGAGCTGCAGGTCCCCCACCCCTGGCCTAATGTTTCAGAGACTGCAGGATTGCTATAACTGTTCCTCGAAAACACAATAGTCCAGAGGTAATTTTATAGTACAGTATTCAACTATTTGAGCAGCTTCCGGCGGGAAGGTAAACGGCATTTCCGTGTGCTGCTCTGGTTCGCCAGAAGCGGCTTAGTCATGCTGGCACCATGACCGGGAAGCTGTACGCCGGCTTCCTCGGCCAATAAAGCAAGATGAGTGCCACAACCCCAGAGTCGGCCACGACTGGACCTAATGGTCAGGGGTCCCTTTACCTTTTTATTCAACTATTTTATCTGTGCTGCGGAAAAAAACAACCCCAAATTCTGCACATGGAATGAGGGCAACATATGAAGATAATTAATATGAAATGCCTCATATTATCTACATATGCGGAAACAGCTATCTGAACACGCCCATCCAGAAAATAAAGTTAAGTGCTTTATACTTTCCTTTGTATGTTTTAAATTATATACCTTGATAAATATTGAACTGGTTTTAAAAGCCCAAAGACTTGTGTTTAAGTCGTATCACCCCAGCTATCCAGATTTCCCCCCTCGTGCTTCTCCTAACCCTTTTTGGCTAGAACTGCCAATAAATACATTTTCAGCCTCTTCTCTGAGATTTAGGACTTACTTTGAAGCCAGACAGGGGAGGTGGGTGGGTGGGGAAGAGGCAACTTGACATTTTCTGAATTCTAATAGAGTCATTGGATTCCATCACAGCTATGTGGATTTTCAGGGCCCTTGGAGTTAATCAGGTCTTCCATTCCCTATGTAATCCTTAAATTAAGGTTTTGGGGACATTCGAAAAGTTCAGGCAGATGATTAGCCCATCCTAACTTATTATGTTTCTGTTGCTATTTTATTGCTGGTCATCTCTGCTTCCCGATTTAGTTTCGAAGTGAAGAAGAAAATTGCAAATGTATTCACTTTCGTAATATACTGGTGATTTTATAACCTCCCATCATACCACCCCTCATTCTTCTGACCTGCATAAAAAAACCCCTCACTTACTAATCATCATCATCATCATCATCATCATCTTTATTAAAGAAAGAATAGGAGCAACATTTTCTTAACCGATTAACGTGGCTGCAATCCTATACAACTTACTTGGGAGAAAATTCCATTGAATTCAATGGGACTTACTTTGAGCAGAAATGCATCAGATTGCACTTTAAATATTTAGATGAGAGTCAATAGTTATATTAACAAAGCCTGAATACAAGTGTTTTTATAATATACTGAAGGAAGAGTGAGATTACTAATTGATACATAAGCAAAAGCTACTGCTCTTTCAATACAGTATCTTCCTCTTCGTTCTCTATTACACTTGTACCAGAACCAAGAACGGTTCTCAAATAAGTATACCCTTATTTCTTAGTTATGACCCTAACCCAATGCTGTGATCCTTAGCTAAGACCCTGACCCCAATCCTACCCCAATTGTCCTTTTGGATTAGTCAACCATGGCTTTTGTTGGCTATTCTACTGATTAAAGTTTAGAATACTAGCTAACTACCTTTTTAAAAAAAAGGTTCCAAAAATGCATGGACAAATAATATGTATCATTATACAGTGGTACCTTGGTTCTCAAACACCTTGGTACTCAAACGCCTTGGTTCCCAAACGCCAAAAACCCAGAAGTGAGTGTTCCAGTTTTCGAACGTTTTTCGGAAGCCGAACATCCGATGAGGCTGTAGGCTATTGTTTCCGGGGCGCCTGCACCAATCAGAAGCTGCGCCTTGGTTTTCAAACATTTCAGAAGTCAAACAGACTTCAGGAACATCACATAGGGAATCAGCTGTGAGGTCGATGGCCATGATTTGGGGGGAAACGCCTCATGGACCAAATGTGAATACCTGGTGGGACAAATCTAGACCCCAGCCCAAAGACTCCCCACATCTGATCCATATAAGGTCACTATGATTCACTGTGAACATAACTTTTCTGTGTTCCTTTCCATCAGTTTCCCCTGGCACCCTGAAATAATAAGAAGCTACTTCTAAGATGGAACTGCAGCAACTAAAAAGTTATCCAGGACTCTACCCAACCCCATCTCCTACATCTGTAGCTTGCATCTGAGTTTCCAGAAGGTGCCAGCATCGAAATGGCATTAAAAAGTCAAACTTGCTACCTATGAGTAATGAGTTGGTGGTTTAACATCTGCGAGCAGGAACACTGAAGGGGTGTGGTGGTAGAAGGGAATCTAGCAAAAGAAAAAACCTGCAGCTGCTGTAACCCTCCTACAGTTTCTTGTGTATGTCGTGTCTTTTAAGATTGTAAGCCTGAGGGCAGAGACTGTATTTTCCTTCCTGGTGATCTGTAAGCCGCTCTCGGAGGCTTTTTTTTTTTTTTTTTTTTTTTTTAAGAGTGGGATAAAAGTTCCTTTAATAAATGAATATAGCCCCATCTGCACTTTAGCATCACGGTAATGACACAGAATGAACAAGGCTGGATCCTTCGTTGCTCCTCAGAATGAATCTATATACCTGAGGCAGGACTCAATCTGTCCGAACCATGAAAAATGTCCCAAACTCTCTCACGTCCAGGACATCCCCTTTCCAACCCTACAACTATGCCTGGTGTGGGGAACCTATAGCCCTCCAGATCAGACCCAAAAAGCACGGCCAATGGCCAGGGATGATGAAAACTGTAGTTCAGCAAGATCTGGAAGGTCAAAGGTTCCCCACACTTAAACTATACCATCCCTTTCTGGAATGCAGAGTACAGTGGTACCTCGGGTTAAGTACTTAATTTGTTCCAGAGGTCCGTTCTTAATGAAACTGTTCTTAACTTGAAGCACCACTTTAGCTAATGGGGCCTCCTGCTGCCACCGCGCTGCCGGAGCACGATTTCTGTTCTCACCCTGAAGCAAAGTTCTTAACCCGAGGTACTATTTCTGGGTTAGCGGAGTCTGTAACCTGAAGCGTATGTAACCTGAAGCATATGTAACCTGAAGCCTATGTAACCCAAGGTACCACTGTACAGGCGTCTCCCCATGTAGGTGAGGGTAACGTTCCAGGACCCCACACATATAAGCAAAATCACATAAAGTGGGGAACATCCTCTAAAAAGCCTCCAAATGCCAATTTCCTCCTGCTCTCTCCCCACGCTCTCTCCAATCCAGACCATAATATCTAGAGTTGAAGCTCTGAGGCTGGGTGGAGGCCACGCAGGAACGCAACTGCTATTGCTGCTGTGCTACCCCGCACATCAGCTGTTAGGCGGGGAGGCTGAGAAGCCTAAACAGGTCTCTTAGGGATTCCTCCACCATCAATGACACCCTCTTTTGCCTCCAGGGAGCGTCTCCTCACAAGTCAAGAGGACTCTCCAGCTCTCTCCTGCCATTTCCTGGTGTGATTCTATTTATTTATCTATTTTCCTGGCACCATGCATATATGCAGTCACACCTATAAGTGGCTGCTGATTTCCTGGCTTGGCCTGCTTTCTGGCTTGCCCACATGGGGTCATCTGCTTGCGATTGCTATGGACCGGGAAATCAGCACCAGCGCTCAACTAACGGAGGACACATAATGAAATCCACGAACTTCACCCTCTGATTCCCGTTTTAAGGAAAAGTGGGGCATTCTGGGATCAAATCAGAAACCAGGACGGCTTCTGTAAATCTGGGACTGTCCTTGGAAAATAGGGAGACTTGGGAGGGTCTGCCAGTCCTCTGCTTCTGATATAGTGTCACCTCCCATTTTGTACACTTGTGGTTTGTCCAGTTCTAAAGCAAACCAAGTTATACAGAACCAAAAAGAACAAAAACAGGAGCTTCTGGGGTCACCACAGAAGACCTAAGAACCCTTCTAACCACCCCACTTGAAAAAGAAACATTGGTGCACACTAGTGGCGCTGTGGGTTAAACCACAGAGCCTAGGACTTGCCGATCAGATGGTCAGCGGTTCGAATCCCCGTGACGGGGTGAGCTCCCGTTGCTCGGTCCCTGCTCCTGCCAACCTAGCAGTTCGAAAGCACGTCAAAGTGCAAGTAGATAAATAGGTACCACTCCAGCGGGAAGGTAAACGGCGTTTCCGTGCGCTGCTCTGGTTCGCCAGAAGCAGCTTAGTCATGCTGGCCACATGACCCGGAAGCTGTACGCCGGCTCCCTGGGCCAGTAAAGCGAGATGAGCACCGCAACCCTAGAGTCGGCCATGACTGGACCTAATGGTCAGGGGTCCCTTTACCTTTATTCAGTGGACACGGCCTCCTCTTGCTAAAGTTACACCAGAACACCAGGGGTTCTCCTTTGGAAGCCATGCCCTCAGCACAACCCATCTGCATGCCAGACCTTTGCAAGCCACATTCGCACCGTCCCTTTAAATCACCACAATGCCACTTTGAACAGTCATGGCTTCCCCCAAGGAATTATGGGAGCTGTAGTTTGTAAAGGGTGCTGAGGGCTGTTAGGAGACCCATATTCCCCACCTCCCCAAACTACAATTCCCAGAGTAATTTAATAATCAATTTCTTTTCACAGGCAACTCTGAGAACTTTAGCTCTGGAAGGGGAACTGGGGCCTCCTAACAACTCTTTAGCACCAGCGTTCGAAATTAGCCGGGCCCGTTTGACGATTGGCGCAGGTCCCATTCAATCATGCGACTGGGGAAAGCAAAATGTCACTCAGAGAAGGATCTGAAATATTTTCATTGTCGCTTTAATTAAGTGGGGGTCGCCTTATGCATGGGTAGTGCATAGGGCGGACGTTTGATTGGTTGCTATGGGCAATTGGCAGCTTCTGCCGGCGAGGGGACAGACGGGATGCGGATTTGGGGGTGTCTCCCGGTGGAGTACAGGGTCAGGTTAGGACCCACGTACCTACGGGACAGCCTCTCCTGGTATGTCCCGCAGAAGACCTTAAGGTCCAAAATGACAACACTTTGGAGGTCCCAAGTTGCAAGGTGGTTAGATTGGTCTCAACGAGGGCCAGGGCCTTTTCAGTACTGGCCCCGACTTGATGGAACACTCTGTCACAAGAGACTAGGGCCCTGCGGGACTTGACATCTTTCCGCAGGGCCTGCAAGACAGAGCTGTTCCGCCTGGCCTTTGGTTTGGACTCAGTCTGACCCTTATGTCTTTCCTCCCCTTATGGTTTTGATCTATGGACTACTTTTAAAATAAGGCTGCATTTTAAATTGCATTTTAACCTGTATTTTAAATAGGTTTTTTTTCCCTATTATGTTTTTACTGTACAGTGGTACCTCGCAAGACGAATGCCTCGCAAGACGAAAAACGTGCAAGACGATAGAGTTTTTCATTTTTTGAGTTGCTTCGCAAGACGAATTTCCCTATGGGCTTGCTTCGCAAGACGAAAAAGTCTTGCAAGTTTGTTTCCTTTTTCTTAAAACCGTTAATACCCTATGGGAAACCGTGCTTCGCAAGACGAAAAATTCGCAAGACGAAAAAACTCGCAGAACAAATTAATTTCGTCTTGCGAGGCACCACTGTAATTTTACTGGTGTTAGCTGCCCTGAGCCCGGCTTTGGCCGGGGATGGCGGGGTATAAATAAAATTTATTATTATTATTATTATTGATGGAAAAGTACAGTAGTTTTCTCCTGGATTTGGTTTTTTTTTTTTTTTTGTCGTTCTAATGTGTTGTAAACCGCTTTGAGATTTGTTCTTTAAAAATATAAAGCGGTATGGAAATAACATATGCATACATACATATGTACATACATACCATGGAAGAGGAAAAAAGTTCCTAGACATTCCATTGTAGCGACTGCAGTTTAGGTTTAAGGTGCCATTTGGAGATTAGATTATATATCTGAGTTTCTAACACTGCTCAGCACTCTTAGCGGACTACAGCTCCCTTAATTCCTTGGGGGAAGCCATGACTGTTCGAAGTGGTATCATAGCGCTTTAAATGGGTGGTGTGAGCGTGGCCACAGCCAACAACGCTTTGAACTTCCAACCAGTGACTCCTCTTCCCAGATCTCCCAGCAAGCCCAGCAGTCTTCCCCCGCCGTCCTTCACACACACGCAAACACCCCCCAACCCCATTCCTGACCTGCGGGAGGGCAATGTTGAGCTGGCGCTGCAGGGACTCCTTCTCGTGGCCCAGTTCGCGCAGTCGCAGCTGGGAGGTGGCCAGGCTTTCTTGCGTGTCGCGCAGGGTCTCCAGCAGCCGCTCACGCTCATTCAGCATGTTGACCATGAGCTGCTCAAAGTTGGCGTCGTCGGCCCCGTAGGCCGAGCCGCGGCGGTTGTCCTCATTGATGGTCGGCATCACCTCGCACATCATCATGCCAAGGGGGGTGGGGAGGGCTGCCCCCGGGGGGGCTCCTCAGGGAAAGACTGGAGGCTCTCAGGGACGTTTAGCCCCAGATCCTGGAGAGAGAAAGAGAAAGAGAGGAGGAAAGTCCTTTTTAAAAAAATCATTTTATTTGTATGCCGCCTTTCCAAAGTCAAAACCACGTAAGGAGTCTTACAACACACACACACACACACAAATTACAGAACTACAAACTTAACAAAGGTAGTCATAAACAGTGTTTGGAATCTGCCAGTTGCTGGGAATGTTTTGTGTTCCCATTTTGACCAAGTGGAGCAACATGTCTCTTAGAGAAGCATCTGAAATATTTTCCTGGGAGCTGGAACTAGTTTTATTTCAGACTGTCTTATTTGATGTTTTAATGTGCTGTAAACCACTTTGAGATTTGTTTCATTAAACTATAAAGCAGTCCGGAAATGGAATAAATAAATAATAACAATAATAATAATAACAACAACAATATTAATATTAATAATAATAATAATAATAATAATAATAATAAATAGATAAATCCCACTGAGGTGGGGGAACGCCACATAGACATTCCATTGTGGTGTCTGCAGCTTAGGTTTAAGGTTCCATTTGGCAATTAAGATTATATATCTATCATTAGTCCTAAACAATAAGCAAAACATCAAAAAGTACACAACCAGTTTCCACATAAATCATAAGATCCGCCAAATTAACATCACCATCATCAACAACAAAACCCTCCAAATAATACCCCTGAACTCTGGAGTTCTACAGGTGAAAAGTAAAGAAATGTGTGTCTGACTCAAAGGCAGGGGGACAGGGAAATCAGAGTATTTCATCCCAAAAGTTGCACAGCTGACATCACAGCTAAAGGACACACTGTGCATGTCGAAGAACCCAAATTCAGTCCTTAGGTAGGTGATGGACGACACCTGAGAACCTGGACAGCACCTGTCATTCTGAGAAGACAATACTCAATACTAGATAGAGAAATCGTCTGACCTAGTATATATAGAGCAGCTTCCCATGTCCCAAGGCTCCATGGATTCCAGAAGTGGTGTGGTGTCTGGCTCTGGGAAGAGCAGGCTAAGCTAAAAGCTGAGGGCTGGAACTGTGAATCTGGACCCACCAGCTATATGGGAGGAGATATATATACATACAAACTCAGGGCGACTATGATCTCTAGCACAGAAGATCTGCACTGCCCTTGTGGGGAGGGGACAGGAAGGAGAGGTTGGGAGCCAGGAGTCCGGGAAACAGCCAACGAGATGACACACCGGCTAACTTATTATGAATGGAGATAATGGGAGACCGGAGATGTTACTATAGCAAGTGTGACGTTCTTGTCGCCACCTCCCAAGCAAAAGCATTGGTTCTGGGGAGCAGCTCTGGGTTGGCCGGGGGGAAGGAAGAGCTTGAGATTTAACTCTGTGGGCGGATGGGGAGATCAAGTGTAATCACGGGGCAGGCATGAGGCTCAGCCGGTTGGGGAACTGGAGTTGCCAGAAAAGCAACCCTGCCCCACCCTAACATTTATTTTCTTTCCCATATGGGGCAACCAGTTCCCTAGAGCAACACCCTCAATCCTGTCTCAGCTAGGGCCAATTCAGTCTGACTTCAGTGCCAAAATGACCCCTGCCCCATGTCCTCCCCCCACAACCGTTAGCTGAAGGAAACAACAGTCCATGCAGACTATGCCCTGTGATGCTTCGTTCCCATTCCCCACACAATAAGGCCTAGTGGTCACAGATCTGTGTTGCCTAGATTCAGATTGTAGCTCAGTTCACAACAGAAGCTGTCAGGCGACCTTGGGCAATCAACTTCTCTGCCTCGCTTTTCCCAATCTGTAAAATTGGCACAATGCTCAGCATTCGCATGGCTGCCTTTGAACGTTCACAACACTTCACACGGATTATGCATGGAATAAATGGGCCCTTCTTACAGTCTAGGAGGGCAAATGAGATGAAGGAAGGTTGATGGTGATGTTGTGTTGAAAGTAAGTAAAAGTTTTTTTTCCAAAAAATTGTGCTGAGTTATGAATTATGCAAGTCTGCTTAACTTGGTGCCAGGGAGGCTGTTTCCACACTCTTCTTGACTCAGCATTAATTTCACCAGGATGCACTAGGTGCTGTACAGAACTATTAAGTAACATGGCTGCTGTGCAAGGGGCCTACATTCTTATATGCAAGGTGGAGAATTGAGGTTCACCTCCACACCGTATTCAGACCCTCCAAGTGTCCCTATTTCCCAGGGACAGTCCCGGATTTACAGAAGCCATCCTGGAATGTCCCACTTTCCCTTAGGATGTCCCTATTTTCATTGGAGAAATGTTGGAGGGTATGGAATAGGACATCCTCGGAGCCTTTTTTCAGCCAGAACTTGCCGGAACTCAATTCTGCAACCTCTCAGCTGGGCGTCATTGCCATTCTAAGAGAATGAAAGAGGTGTTTGTGGCAAGTTCTGGCACCTCTTTTCTAGAAAAAAAAAAGCACTGGACACCCCTATTTCCATTGGAGAAATGTTGGAGGGTTTGCATATATATATTAAGCACATTTAAAGCACGCAGCTTCCTGCAAATAATCCTGGGAATGGTAATTTGTTAGGGGAACTGTGGCTCTGTGAGGGGTTAAACTACACTTCCCAGAATTCTTTGGGGGAAGTCATGTGCTTTAAAGGCATTGTGTGGATGTGACCTGATGAGTTGTGGGGATGGAACTGAACCAGAAGCAACAGCAAGGGCAGCTAAAACTGGGGAAAGGCACTTCCGTTGATCACAAAGCAATGGAGGGAGACAGAACATCTTTAGACACTCCCTCATGGGTGCAGCGCTTGTAGGAGCAGTGTAACATCTCATTGATGCCACTGACTTCCAGTTTGTGTGCAATTTAATACAGTGCCATTGATTATTTCACCCCTTCAAGCCTGTGACGCACTATGACCAGTGTTCGAAACTCCCATTGTTCTCGGCGCATTTTGCGACAGGGAATTCCATTAGCGCAAGCAGTTTCTGAGCTCTGGGCACAACACTAAGATTTCAGATTAAAACTGCAGAGTGGAAGGAAAGGAGGACCTTTTTCTGCCTCCCCTACTTCCCGCTACTCTCTGAAGACTGGAGAAGAGACCCTCTTAAGAATATTAAGGGGGTGGGCAGGAGAAGGACTAGAGCACAAGAAAAATTAACATGATATTTTAGCTGCAGTTCATTCATTTTCAGCTTTGTATTCTTGTTATAAAAAAGGCACGCCTAGACATTTTTTAAGCGGGTCTCTTCAGTCTTCAGAGAGTAGCTGCTCAGAGAGTCCTCCTGGTCCTTCCACTCTGCAGTTTTAATCTGAAGTCTTTTGACCATTTACGACTGACATCTCCACCATCTGGGGATCATTGGATCTGGACTGTTTTCCCACACTATTACATAGAATTCTATCTGCTATATTTTATCTGCACAATCAGAATCAATTTCTGGAACCAAATTGTATTTTTCTGTGCAGCCTGAGCAGGAGCGGGGAACAACATTATATAGTTAATTGTTGTCACTTGTCTTCACTTACCAAACCTGCCCCTCCCCAATACTGCACTGCTGCTCACAGTTGTGAAGAATATTCCTATGTTATGAGTGGTCCATGTCACCATTAAGAAAAAGAGGTTGGAATGGGCCAATATATATGTGGACTGTCTCTGGATTAAGTGACTTTCCTTCTTTAGCTTCTCAAAGTTCTTACCTAGCTCAAGATTGTCATCAGAACAAGCCAGGTGTTTAATGGAGAATCAATCACAGTTAGTCCATCGTTTGAAAAAAAGACTTTATGGCCATCTTGCCCCAAAATGGCAACTAGACATTCTGTTTTGGCGACTGCAACCTCGGTTTAAGGAGCTATTTGGCACCCAGCTTATATATCTGAGTTTCTAACAATGCCCTTGCCCCATTCTCTCAATGCAACTAGGGATAAGAAGAGTCCTTCTGGATCAGGCATCTAGTCTATCTTCTTGTGATGCCCACAAACAGGTGTGACAGCGGTTTCCAGCCACTGGGATTCAGAGGCATACTGTCTCCAACAATGGAAGCAGAAGCTAGCCATTGTGGCCAGGAGTAGCCACTGCTAACCTTATCCTCCGCAAAACGAAACACTGCCGCAGAACATCTTCGCAAAGCAGCGATGGAGAGCCTGCCTGTTGCCAATGGTCAGGGATGATGGGAGCTGCCATCCAGCAACACTCAAAGGACCACAGATTCCTCACCCCCGTTGCAAACTCTGTGCTCTCACTGAAACGCGTTGCCTCCTCTACTTTTCCCTTCTTGCACTGCTTTGCACTCCAGACAGAGAACCTAACTTGGCGTGGGAAGCAGCAGCAGTAGCAGCAGCGCTTTGAATAAACTGCAGCCACCTCTGCTTGCTGGGAATCAAGTCTGTGTCCTAAAATGTTACCCCGTTTTAATCAAGTCACACGCTTTCCCTGCCGTCACAGCCGCCGTCCCTCTGTTGCCTCCTCACGCCTGCCTCTTTGCCTTCTGCCAGGCTGCTCCCTCTGCCTGGAACAGCCTCCATATTCCAAGCTCTTCCTCAAAACCTTGTTTTTCCTCTCAGAATAATTGTTCCTGGGCCAATGCAGATATACTCTTTCTCTGCAACCTCTCCTACCTTTCCCCTGTTCCCTTGCAAGACAACCTTGGTTCACATTTTAACTCAGCCATGGCCTTACTAAGTAGCCTAAGGCAAGGCCCTGTGGTTAGCTGTGGGCAACCAGGGCCACAGCCAGACAGGCAAACCACTATGGGGGACACAGCTTGGTCTCCCAAGGGCTTGATGCTGACCCCAAGGCTCATCTATGATCCTTGAGAGTTTGCGGGACAGCGGAAATTTAAAAAATAAACACTAAGCAGCTGTCTCAGAGGGAGCAGAGCGAACCCCTGTGTTTCCACAGCTGAGGCCTAGCTTGGGCTTCCTCCAAGTCTCAGGCATCCGGCTTATAGTTGGGCCCCTTGTTTAAAGGTCCGTTGCATATTGTATACTAGAGGGTTGGCGATGGAAGACTATCAGGGACGCTGTTTGCTGACTCCCCTCCCCTGTTGTTACTAAGCATAGGAGCCAATTCCAAGGGGGTGAGGGGTTTTCGACCCTCTCCCCAAAATGTCGATGGGCATTGCCATTAAAATGGTGCCTGTGCATCACATCTTGTGATTGATTATGCAGGGCCCCCCCCCAATATTTTATCAAGTTGGCACCCATGTTGCTAGGGTAGAGGAAAGAGTGTAGGGCATAGATGTCAACTTTCCCCTTTTCTTGCGAGGAATCCTATTGGGAATAAGGGAATTTCCCTTAAAAATGGGAAACGTTGACAGCTATGGTGTAGGGGGCACCCATGGCCCCAGAGTTTGACAGCTACGTCAAGGTGTGGGGCTGGCTCATCACTCCTTACTCTTCTCAAATAGGTCCTCTAGGAAAAACAGGGATTTATATTGACATTTCACTCATTCAGTCTCACAAACACCCACTGTGGCCACTCATAACTCTTCCCTCTAGGATGGCTAATAATCAGGGATGATGGGTGATGTAGTCCAACAATATTTGGAGGGCCACAGGTTTCCCAAGCAGAACAATTGTGGCATCTTTTTTTGGAGCACCTCCAAGGAAGGAGATTCTACAAGCTCCATAAACACTCTGTTCCATTGCTGAACTCCCCTTAGCAATAGTTCTTGCTAATGTTTAACCCCTGGAATTTGAAGCCACGGTCTAGACCCAATACTCCCCCCCTTCTGCACAGAGGCATTCAAATTTAACACACACATACACAGACCCTCCATGTATCCCTGTTTTCCAGGGACAGTCCCGGATTTACAGAAACCATCCAGGTTTCTGATTTGATCCTGGAATGTCCTGCTTTTGTTTAGGACATCCCTATTTTCATCAGAGAAATGTTGGACAATATTACAAACAAGCTAAGAATTACAACTCTACTGTGGCGGACGAGGTTTTATGCTCACCTCCTCTGGAACAAGAACACAATAACAGATTTATTTTATTTTTTTAAGAAGATGGGAGCTGAGGGAATCAAACCTATCTAGAAGTGGTTCCAGACTTGATGGAGAGGTCCTCCCCATTAAGTCCCACAGGCAGTGGTACCAACAGGGCAGGACTCTGCGGCAAATGTTCCTAGCCCCCCACAGCAGAACAAGCAGGGGGGCCCCAAACACCTCAGAGCTGGTTTGCCACATTTTGAAGTAAGTGAAGTAGTTCATGCTAACATCTAAAGAGCCATTTCCCACCAAGTCCAGAGGTTAAAATTACCTAACTGCACCAGAGGTACATGGAAGTGCCTCGCTGCTTAGGGAAAGATGCTCTGTATATTGTCCAAAGGGGCAGTTTCCTGCGAGCCAGGCAGAAGGTGCAGGATGAGGCTTGGCTTCAGGTATTCAATAACGACAGCTCAAACTAGTCAGAAGCCCATTGTCTATGATGGACTTAGCACTTAAAAGCATCTCTCTCTCTCTCCCTCCCTCTATGCCCATATTCCATCTCCAGTTGGAGAGGTTCAGTTTCCCTGGAACAACAAGATAAACAGATTCCCTTAGAAGTGCCTAGAAAAGATGCGAGCAGGGCTCGTAAGATAGAAATGCTTTCGAACGGATAAAAAGAAAAGAGCTCTCACCTATTCAAGGGCCAAACCTTGCCACTGATAAGTTCTAGGGTTGAGCAACGTGAAATCCTGGCCAAAATCAAACTCTGCATATAAAAACATGCAAGAAAATACTCAACAGAGACGTGCCATAGGTCACTCTCGTTGCCTAATATACCCTCTTTCTCCACCAAGCCAAACAAATGGAAGCAAACAGCCCATCAAATGGGGGTGGCGAAATCTGAGTATCCCCATAATCTTACAAATTCTGAAAAAATATAGTTTCCAAGGCCAAGACAGGCCCACACATGCACAGTCACTCTCATGCTTTCAGAAGACATTAAGAACTCATATTAGCAGCTGGTCAGGGGAACAGACACACAAAGTCTAGGATGCAGCACAAATATAGACAAAATGGTCAGAGGCTTGTGGATGGCATTAGATTGCTCTGCTCTTTTATGTGCAACCACAGACCGCAGACGGTAATTCTGGCCCATGGATTTACACAGCTTTTACACCTGAGAAGTGGAGAGAGATTGAGACATTTATGTATACATCTATGGATATTGAGGCTGCTATGAAAGAGACACCAAGGATTGAACGTTCACATTCCCCCACCCCTCTCTCACATACACACTCATAGACAGCATGAGCAATATAAGAACACATGCATTGGAGATACATAAAACAAGCTCAGAATCCAGACTCTGGCACAGTAGTAGACATTCTGAGCATCTCCCGCTCCTTTTATTTTTTTGTTGAAAACCAGTAGATTTCTAACCTTCACGACTAGTGTCTAGTGAACACTATGAATTCAAGGGAGGGAAAAGCCACATTCCCCTCCACAATAACCACCACGTCCCTTTCAGCTTGTCATCTCCCCCATTTGCTGTCAAACATGGTAGGTTATCTGAAGAAACTCTTCTCCCATGGAAGCAACATTAAGAGAAGAAGAAGTAAAATTAGCCTAAACCAGGCTTCCTCAACCTCAGCCCTCCAGATGTTTTTGGCCTACAACTCCCATGATCCCTAGCTAGCAGGACCAGTGGTCAGGGATGATGGGAACTGTAGTCGCAAAACATCTGGAGGGCCAAGGTTGAGGAAGCCTGGCCTAAACTATGCTAATGTAACTTCACAGTAGCATAACATGAGTTTAGTTTGCTTTAAGGATTTGCATCTCTGGGGAGCAGAATATAGAATTTCACCAACACTGCACTAGTGTTTAGGCGTTTGTACATTCACAGACCCTGAACGCAGTTGCACACTGCTAAGATTGGGACATGGGTGGTGGTGCTCACAAAGCACAACAGGTTCTGACTTCTGTGCATGCACTCAGACATCTCTGCATGCAATAGCACAGGATGCACTCACAACAGGCCTTGCCAAACCCATGGGCAGTGTACAAACTTATTTGCAGGTCTATGACTAGCAAAGGTGAGCATGTGCATGCAAACCAAAACAGTGCACCACCGCACATGCGCAGCGCAAACACCACCTCTGGTGCTCCAATCCTCTTCTTATGCAGCTATGTGACACATAAGATTTCATGCTCATCCAGAAGGTGCAAAGAAACAAATATAACCGTGGGCACATGTTGGCACAAGTGGAACCACATCTGTACAAAAACCATTGTACAAAATCCAACACATGTGCTGTAACTTCTATGTAGCACAGCTGGGCTTAGAAAAAAGACTGGTTTTTACCTGTCAGACTTCAATCTGTTTAGAATCTCACCATATTCATCCATGTTCATCTTGACACATTGATTACATGCACCCCACACCTAGTGCAGCTATACATCTTTCCACACCACAGCCACCTGCAACATACACATTCCAGTATAACTGTGCGCGCACACACAAAAAGCTTGTAGCGCCTACATACTTGCCCTAACAGATGACACTTTGGTATTTCCCCATGCTTCTGCACATACAACACTTGTTGTCACAGCTGGCCTACACCAGCATGTCATCTCTGGCATTTTTGCGAGTGGTCATGCGCATGTTGCACGTGTGACTAACCCTCCTGTTTGCACGGCTGCCCTGCATGCAAACCTTGTGCAATATTATAACACCTTTGTACTGCAATGCATATGAAGACAAATATGCACATAAGAATGTATCTAAGTCAATGAAAGTGCATTATCTCCTGCTTCTATGTACACAGCTGGGCTAGAAAAGACTGTTTTTACCTGTCAGACTTCAATCTGTTTAGAATCTCACCATATTCATCCATGTTCATCTTGACACATTGATTACATGCACCCCACACCTAGTGCAGCTATACTTCTTTCCACACCACAGCCACCTGCAACATACACATTCCAGTATAACTGTGCGCGCACACACAAAAAGCTTGTAGCGCCTACATACTTGCCCTAACAGATGACACTTTGGTATTTCCCATGCTTCTGCACATACAACACTTGTTGTCACAGCTGCCTACACCAGCATGTCATCTCTGGCATTTTTGCGAGTGGTCATGCGCATGTTGCACGTGTGACTAACCCTCCTGTTTGCACGGCTGCCCTGCATGCAAACCTTTGTGCAATATTATAACACCTTTGTACTGCAATGCATATGCAGACAAATATGCACATAAGAATGGATCTCGGTCAATGAACGTGCATTATCTCCTGCCCCCGGGAAGCAGAAAGTGCAGCACTTACTGTTGCTTGTGCAAATGGGTTGTACATCACAGCTTGGAGCACGCTTGTGAAACAGGGATGGCGCATGTTGATTGTTATGAGCTTGCCTAACATGTGTCTGACCACAGCATCACACACACACACACACACACACACACACAGGCAGTCTATGTTTTTCACCTTCTTTTACACACCTGCACCTGAGCTGTATTAAATATAGCTATGGGTGATCGCTGAATTTGGGAGAATGAAAGTGGGAATCACACAAATTATAATCTTATCATTAACCCATCCAATAGATAGCCTTACTTCAGTTGTAATACAATAGCTGCTTGCAGATAGGAAAGGTAGGCCTGGAAACACATAATAAAGGACTCCCAATTTTTAATCAACATATTAATAACGCTCCACCTTTGGGAGATATATAATGTGATGATGCCTTATAGCCTGATACTTTCTTTGTCTATAGGCACCTCCATTTTTAACAGAACCAACATCCTGCTTCCTTTTTCTTAGCCATCATGTATTTCCATCTCCCAAACACTTGCACTGGATTCTCTTCAGCTATGTTTCCACATTGGTCCTCCACTCCCTGCAACATCTACTTTGAAATCCCGTCCCCGCACCGTCAAACTGGCACCTGCCATTCTGATCTCCTGCTTCTGCTAAGACCCCACTCTGCAAAATGTTAGGCCACCGTTTCGTTGTATTACGAGGTGCAGAAAAGACAACCCATGGGAATATATTGATAACACAATATATTAAGGGTTTGGGTCGGAGCCTCAGACTCTTATGCTCATAGGACTGTGTGGTGAAGGGTAATGAAGAAAAATCAGGCAGGGTGCAAGACGCACAAGAAGAAGCTGTTTGGAAAGAGATTTGGTGGCAAGGCACAGGTTCAAAACAGCAGGAATCTAGGAGACCATAGAGGTAAGAGTGCTGGGGGCCATTGAGTAGCATGGGCAAAAGGGATGGAATTGTGGGTATGGGCCAATTAAGAAAAAACTAGAGGGGGCTGTGGGTTTTTAAAAAATCTGATGGAGTAGCATTGGGTGGAGTGACATAGGTTTCTTGGTGGAACAGGGTGCAGGTTCCCTAAAGGAAAGAGCAGAGGGGGTTGCCTAGAGATAGAATGTGGGTTGCTTTAGCCAAGCAGGGGCGAGGAACGGCTGGGCAGAATGATGGAGCCGATGTCGGCTGCGCCTGTGAGCAATGTTGAAATTTGACAGCGCTCAGGGAGAACGGGTGTTTGGGGGTCTTTAGGGGGCCCAGACGGGAACAAAGTCGGGGGGGGGGGAGAGCGCACGCTGTAAATTATCGGGTGTGCAAAATGGAAAAGAGAACTTGGTGGGGAAAGGGGGTCTGGTGGAGCTGGGTAAGATTGCTTGGGTTTCCTTTAAGTGGGGGCATCCAAGGCTCAAAGGGTAACCAGGGACAGCGGAGCAGAGCTACAAACAAGGTTGGTCAGGGGATGTGGGAAGAGGGGGAAGACCTCTGTGCTTGGGGAATGGGCAGAAGGAAGACGATTCTGGAGGAGAGAGGCCGCTGGAGAAACAGAGAGAGGGCCTTTGGTGAGCTGCTGCTTCCATGAAACAGACGCCTGGGGAAGGGGTTAGAGGCTAGAGGCGCCTCCCCAGCTTTGGCGGTGGGGCACCCTGTAGATCCCCAGCGCTGGCCATCACGGCAGGTCGACCTACCTATCTGGAGAAGCTCCAGGGCCCGGGTGGGTGGAGAGACGGAGGGGACGGGAAGGTGGGTCTCTGGGGCTGGGTGGAGATGGCTTGGAAGGTTCCAGGAGAAGGGGAGCCCGGAGCGAGGTTGCAGGGCTTTCAGAGAGGAGCCGGAGAGGGAGGAGGAGGAGGCGGCGGCAGGCAGATGGACTGTGCGCGGCTGGGCAGAGACGAAGAGGCAGGGCGCGATCTCGTGGGAAAGGGGCTCGGAGAAGGCGCCAGGGCGCACCGGCGGGGAGGCTGGGTTGGGCGGAGGAGTTGAGTTGCAGGGAGCGTGCCGGAGAATCGGGATGGGCGAGGGCGCGGGGTGGGGTGGGGGGCGGCGGGTAGGAGAGGCTGTGGGTGCCGGGGTGGTGGTGGCCGGATCCGCGCGGAGCGCACGGAGAAAGGTGCGGGTGGTTGGAGAGTGTAGGCAGCGGCGGGTGGCAGCGCAGGGGGTGCGATGGGGAGCGGGGAGCCCTGGGATGCGGGAGTCAGAGGCGCATTGGGGAAAGGCCGGCGGGGAGGGAGGGAGGGATGCAGAGACGGCAAGAAGAAGCTGCCGGACGATTTTGGGCAGCTTGGGAGACGATGGAGCAAAGGCTCCGGACGGTCCCCTGGTGGAGAGGTGGCGCCCCGCTGGAGAGGGACGCGGAGATCGGGTGCAGCGGGGCGCAGCGCGGGGCTTCCCGGGAGGAGATGGGGGTTCCTGAGCTCGGCGCTTACCTGCCTTTGCAGCAGGCGGGGGAGGCTGCGGTGCTGCTCCTGGTGGTGCTGATGCAGGAGGGATGCAGGAGGGAGCCTGGATGCTGATGCTGGGCCCCCTCCTCCGGCCTTCAGGGGCGATTGCCATCCCTCAGGGGGACCCCACTCCCCAGCCCCGGCATCCCTCCCTCCCGGCCGGCCGGTCGGCCACCGCCTGGCGCCCCCCTCCAGCCCGCCCAGGCAGATCCAGAGAGCGAAAAGAGAAGCAAATCCCGCCCCTTCGCCCAGCGCAGAGCTTGGGCGCGCCTGCCCCTTTAAGAGATCTCTGATTGACAAGCGTTCCGACCAACGAGCCTGCGGCATGGTCCGGGACAGCCCTTTAGGCACCGCCCACGCGTGGGGAAGGGAGGGGAAGCCGAGCTCCGAGTGGCAAGGTGGCAGAGCCAATGGGTTGGGCGAGCTGGTGGGCGGGGGGGCTGCGAGAAGCCAATTGGGGAAGCCTATGGGCGGGGCTCAGTTTTAGGATGATGTCATCCGGTGGTTCTTTAGGAAAAAGGAGGGGGGAAGGAACAGGAGGAGGAGAAAATCAGATGCATCGCAGGTTTTTTTTTTTTTTAAAGCGGGGGGGGGGGGAGCGTAACAAAAATGCACGAAATCCGTGCAATGACCCAAGGAAGCGTCCCAGCCCGTGTTAAATAACGCAACAGTCCGGTGAGAAGAATGAGACGTTGCATCACGGGCGGAAAATGCACCAGATGCGTGCATAGAGAGAAAAATCGAGACAGTGAAATGCACCGATTCATGCAGCTCAGAGAGGATATTTATGCATGTACCACCTGGAGATACACCTACAGCTGAGAAAATGCAGCAACCCGGCGGAAAGCACCAAGAGGAGACACTCCAGCCCCATCGCCCCCGAGATGCACAAACTCTCTGCGAAAGGAGCCGGTGGGCTACGGAGGAGTGAAAATGCACCGGCCCATGCGACATAAAGAGAAATAAATCACGGCGCCCCGTTATGAGGAGATGCACCAGTTCATTTCACGCAGGGGAGAAACAGCAAACCGTGAACCTCCAGAGAACCTGGAAGGGGAGGAAAGGGGTGACACGCCAAACCACGTGCTGCTGAGAAATGCACCACTTCATGCAAGTCGGTGTAAAAAAAATAATGCATCAGTCCAAAAAATGGCATAGCCTAGAGAGATCCATCCACCACCCTAAGGAAATGGCCATGCAACAACCTAGGAAAACTCATTTGTGCAAAAGAGAAACGTGAAACAATGCCCAGCAAGGTAAGGAAGGGGTTTGGTTGCTGAGCTCTCTGGATGAGATGCGCTTGCTTAAGAGAACCCAGGAAAGACATGGAAATATATAAAGACATGGAGCAGTAGGGGAAGGTGCAAAAAATCAATGCATGAAGCCAAATCGGAACAGCAAATCATTGCAAGGCAGAAGACAGTCCAGGGAGGGAGCAGCAACCGTGCATCATTAAGGGCCTTTCCAGATGGCAGGGGAGGGAAGTAACACATTTTATTCTTGGTCCTCTGTCAATGCTAGCTCTGAATAAACTCTGGGATATGCTTTTTGTCCTCACTGGTAACCTTTCTGATGTTTTCTTTATTTTTTATTTTTTTTGCATTTCCTTGGCTGGAGAGGGAAGGAGGATGCAGAACCTTCAAAGAACACAATCTTTTTTAAAAAAAAAGTTTAAAGAGAAAAAGGAATAGAAAAAGATTCATGAATGGCAAGACTGCAGGAGGATGGTATATGTCCTGGGGTTTGTCAGTTACATTGGTGGTGCAACTGGGAAGCACCCAGTCTGTTAAAAAAGAAGAAGAAAGGGAAGCTTGGTATTAAATGATTTACAAAAATACAGCGATGCACAGGCACTAGCCAATTGGTCCTTGTTCAACCACAGTAATTGACTATAGTTGGGAAGGGAGTTGTGGATCATCTTTGCCCAGTGACATAATATTTTGCTTTTAGTACTGGCAAAATGCCGTTGCCCTGAAGGGAATGAGTTGCAACTCAGCACTTGAAAAGTATTTTCTGCAACTGCCCGAAGAAATGCGCCAAGTCTGTGACGAAGATGTGTCAAATGCATGCAGATGGTAGGTAATATTCTGATCATAACAGAGAGCAGTGGTGAATTTCCCTCGGCACGGACTGCCTGTCAAAAGCCAGGAGATAAAACTTGGGAAGTCCATCGCAGTAAGGCCGCAAGAAGCATCAGATTGCATGAAAATGTCCCTATTTGGTAATTCAGAGACTGTGGCCCTGTGAAAAGAGGCAAAGGCCGTGGGACCCTGTGTAGCCTTACAGAGATGTGGAAGAAGAACCAAGGAACTACACACATTTGTATTAGCTGCTCATCTTCAGCAAAGCTGTAGCGCACATTCATGTGGCCAGTGAAGAATGAACTGCTAGGAAGGAAACACAGCCCAGTTTTCTGATCCAACAGTGACATGTTAGCCGGTTCTTGCACACAGGAGAGAGTGGGGAACCTGAGGAATTCAACTACACTGTGCAGTTCATTGCAAAGTACACACTCTATCATAATTAGGCATCCCAGAGAGAAGCGTACCAGTATGTAGACACGCAATCTGTAGGAGGATCTGACCAGAGGTTCCAACTGGTCCAACATCATTTCCAGTAGCACTTACAGAACATAAAGATCATGGGCTGTTTCCTCTCCCAGGGGCTTCGTTATTACATAGTATACCTCCTGTGTAAATGGGAGTTCATTAAGCCATTGTAGAGTTGGAAGGGACCCTGAGGATCATCTGGTCATAAGTCCCCTGCAATGCAGGAATATGCAGCTGTCCCATACGGGGATCGAACCTGCAGCCTTGGCGTTATCAGCACCACGCTCTAACCAGCTGAGCTATCATAGGTCACAGCCCATAGGTGTTCCTAGAAACATTCTTTGTTTGTCTAAACCAGGGATGAGGAACCTGTGGCCCTACAGCCTCCCAAGCCTCAGCTAGCATGGGCAATGGTCAAGGATGATGGGAGTTGTGGCGGGCCATAGACTCCACATCACTCGTCTAAACCATGAGAAGGACGACTATGCTACAGGGACGATCACTGCTGTTTTAGTAACAGGGAATCTATGGCTCTCTGAACTACAACTTCCTTCATCCTTGATCATTGCTCGCTGGGGACGATGGGAGGTGGAGTGTTTTTTCGTATGCAGGGAATGTGTCTCAGAAATTTGAAAACGCCTCTTGCTTGGCAGAATGGAAACTACAGAGGGATGTGGTAAGCGCTTGCAGAAACTAGGTACAGTGGTACCTCTGGTTAAGAACTTAATTCGTTCTGGAGGTCTGTTCTTAACCTGAAACTGTTCTTAACCTGAAGCACCACTTTAGCTAATGGGGCCTCCAGCTGCCGCCGCGCGATTTCTGTTCTCATCCTGAAGCAAAGTTCTTAACCCGAGGTACTATTTCTGGGTTAACGGAGTCTGTAACCTGAAGCGTCTGTAACCCGAGGTACCACTGTAAAAATGTTGGAATTTGGGTGTTTTTAGATATTTTTGTCATTTATGTGTTTGCTACCACTGGCACATGGCTGTCCAGAATTGGGGGGGTGATGGTTCTCTACTCCAGGGCTATAGCTTAGTGGAAGAGAACTTGCTTTGCATCCATGTTCAGTTCAAAGGATCAGGCAGCAGGTGAAGGGAGAGTCACTGCTAGACAGCCTTGAGCTAGGGGGAGAACCAGTCTGTCCCCAATTTAAGACAGATTTCTATCATCCCTGCTGGGAATATTGTGTTCCCTATAGAAATCTTCGCATCTCTACACTTCCCCCAAATCAGAAAGTGCACCCCTTTTGCTAGGTATACTCAAATTTCCTGCACCAAACCTTGTAAACCCTTCCTGCTTGGCTTTTATCTCTGTCTGGTTCTTTTAAAAATATCCCACACCCTATCTCCATAGCAGCAATCGGTTAATTTTAGACAACGCTCACTAAAAATTCCTTGATGTGGAGATGGCTCACTTCTGGATCATTGGTCCGTGTGACATTGGGGACCTGTTGGTCTGCGGTCCGAAGGGTTGGTGGCTACAGCAGAAGAGCTCAACCTGAGCCAGGATAACGCCCTGAAACATCATCTTGCTGCTTCAGGAGGCAGGAATCATGATACGCAATTGTGATGGGGATATTTATTTGTGCTTCTTGCTTCGGGTCTGAATTGAGAGCCATATTGTTCATTGGAAGGAGGAATACATCAGGGATAGCGATCTAGCCCACCGTACAAAGGTAAAGTTTACGTTCATTGCTCCACCCGTTTTGGCTTCTGGCTCTGCCCAACATTGGCATGTGGCCCCCAGAAGGTTGCGCAAAAGGAAATGTGGCCCTGAGGCTGGGAAAGGTTTCCCATCCTTGACATGAGATAGCTACATTTGGACAATGGTAAAAAAGAAATAACAACAACAATAATAACTAACACCATTTTTTAAGCCTTTGTATCTTCATGGGGCTACAGAATACAGTGGTACCTCAGGTTACATACGCTTCAGGTTACAGACGCCCGCTAACCCAGAAATAGTACCTCCGGTTAAGAACTTTGCTTCAGGATGAGAACAGAAATTGTGCTCCAGCAGTGCAGTGGCAGCAGGAGGCCCCATTAGCTAAAGTGGTGCTTCAGGTTAAGAACAGTTTCAGGTTAAGAACGGACCTCTGGAACGAATTAAGTATTTAACCCGAGGTACTACTGTAGACTCTACCCATCGACCTCCCTTTTAGGAAAATAACATGTACTGTAGTTTAGTCATTTTCCCAGCTAGCATAGAAAAATCATTTCATTCACCGCCTTTCCCGCGTTGGGCATCAGAAAACAGTGGTGAGCCTCAGAAGTCGGTGGCGCAGCAATGAAACTGCTAGCACATTTGCAAAGCTAAGCAGGGCCCAGTATGGTTTCAAATTGGATTGGGGACCTCAGGTGGAGATTTGGGGGGCGGGTTTGAGATTCTGTGATTCTATGTTAACTTGGCCAACTCTCGGAAGCCTGTATTACAGGAGTGGGTAACCTTTGGCCCCTCTGCATGTTGCTGAACCACAACTCCCATCACCCCTGGCCATTGGCCATGCTTGCCAAGGCTGATGGGAGTTGTAGTTCAGCAGCATCTGGAAGGCCAAAGGCTCCCCACACCTG